ATCGAGTCACGGGAGAATTCCCAGTGGGCCGCATAGCTGTTGTTCCGGGTCACAAACAAAAAAATCTGACAAGTTTAAAATTCTGCAACAACGCTTCAAAACATTTATCAGCTAATTTACTCACGCACACACACACACACATTTGTATTCATATCTTTGTGGGGAACATGCATTCATTTCTAAGGAAAAAAAACATAATGCCAACAATGACAACCTCAACCCTAACCCAGTTCTAACCATAACTTACCAATCGAAATAAAACACTTTTGGCATTTTTAGTTTTTTGATTTGTGTGTTTTAAAAATACACCAATCATTCCATGCTCCATCAGCATTACTTCCAAATAAGTGTGCATTCAACAAACACAAGCATTCTCATGTATTTTATAGTTTATTATACAGTATTATACACAAACACAAATGTCCAAGCCTTATGTTTAATTCCAAGCCAAGACCATGAAAAAAGGTTTAGTGACAAAGAAAAGACTGAGACCATCTCTCTAGATCAGAGGGATCACAATTTGTGTGAGCTGCCGTTAGATTTTCTGACCCCATAAAATTTCAGGGAAAAAGCAGTAATACAGCAGTCTAAAAGACTTCAAATGACTTATCATAAACAGATATTATGATTCTGTAGTGGTTTCATAACTGGTGATTACCAATCGACTTCAGCAGTGAGGTCACACTTTGTGACGGCGGCCGTCAGATTTTTGGACCCCATACAATTCCAGGAAAAAGCAGTGATACAGCAATCAAAAAAACTTCTGGTGATTTAATGTGAACATAAATTATAATCTTGGAAAGAATTCATTACTGGGATGTACAGGTCAGCTCTGGCAAAGGGGTGACTTTTTCTAACATCTGATGTCAGATTTTGTCTCCCCAGTGTGACTTGTGAAAAAGCAAACAATCATTCAAATGTGCTGTCTTTTCAGCATGCTTACACACTTGTAATGTTGTCTTCACATTATGTCGAGCATTCCTAATTGTGAAAGTAAATGTAGCGCACCACAGTACACGGTATTGTACATCACATAATTGAGTAAATAAACAGCAGCGTAAGTATCAGAAAGCATAAGAAAATTGAAAAGAATAACTATCATGTCGTCTTAAAACATTTATTTGAAATCTGCATTTATTATATTATTATTTGTTATATTTAGCTTGCATGCATCGATCCTTTTGAAATAAATATTAAATTAAATAAAAGCAAGCAACCGTGGTAAATAGTCGCAGTGTTGCAGCTCAGAAATACGCACTCTTTTAGCCACCTCTGTAATTAGAGAATGTTGATTTTAAAAGAACACGCAGAAGAGTTATTTCCAATCATAGTTCCCGAGACAACACAAAGAAACACAAATAAAAGGACAGAACAGAAAGTGGAAAAGCTGCTGCCTTGAAAGTCTGCTGCCTTGAAAAAGTTAAAATAATTGCGGTACGTAAATGAAATTTAACATAATTACGGTACGCAAAATGTGCTGAGGGCTCGTGCACGTGAACACGATCCCTGCGTTCACTCCCAGTAACATGTAAGACGGCGCTCCTATAGTCACACATAACGACGGTCACAAACACAAGTAATTACTTTCTCAAACTATTAATGTTGGAAATAGGCCAAGCAGGCGGGGCTAAAAAAAGTCAGACTGCTTGAACAATTAAATATGCTATTTATTACTTTTTTTCTTCTTGAAATGTCAGTAATATATTTATCGGAATAGTTGAACTGTGGCATAATTTCTCAAAGTTCCCCCAGAACGAAGACAAAATGGGCTGGTCTTTGATGTAAAACTCCTGGACTAGCCCCACTTCGATACTAGTAGTAAGCAATACATGCATTAATGTACTGTAAAATATCAAACATTTTAGCCAAGTCTTGCTTGACATAATGAAAAATAGCCGAAATGGTCTTTAAGATAAGAAGGCGATTGTCCGCTGGATGTGAATGCCTATTGATGTGGGAATCAGACTGGAATCAGCCCAAAATTTAAATGAGAATTTTCGCCCAAAATGGACATTCAGATTATCAGCAGTGCGGTTTACAGTCGGGTACAGGATATCATACCTGTCTGCATCGCTCAGCACACTGCCTTGAATCAGCACCATCTCTCCAGGCCGCAACCCATCGAGGATGGTGCCAGCGAAAGGGACCGTCTGAGAGTTACAAACAGGACGTCAATAAGAGATGTTAACTCAGGTCAAAATGTAACGCCGCGCAAACAGAGATTATCGCTTAAAATAGCTACGATAACGTTTCAATTACAGAAAAATAAATGTCTAACAGCCATGTTAAAGTGAGTCTAGCAAGCAATGTTGGCTCATCAAGAATGTACATCTCAGTCACATAACTGAACATATCATCTGATAGTGATACGGAAAACTTGCCCCGATATCAACTTGTAAGCGCACAATATCTGGATGATAGTTTAACCGTTTTCAATTTACGTAGCTGGCTAAATGATGGCGATTTTAACTTCAGTGTTTCCATATGAGGTAAACGAAAACTCAGAAGTCAATGCCAGACAATTTCTTGTGGATCTGACCTGCCAAACCTTTTTGGTCGCGAAATGGCCGCAATAGAGTTCATAACACATGTATAACACCTATAATACTATATTATAAAACCATCACAACACCTACAGCATAAATACACCGTCGTACTCTTTACTCCTGAGAATGTCTATAAACACTAATAATATGTCATAAGGATTCCAAAAGTGTTTTCTTACAGAAATATATAAATATTTAAAAAGGTCATTTGTTTGGAGTAGGGAGCACCCAACACGTCAAACCGTGGCCATAGCAAACAAATTGGTAACGATTATATCTAAAACACCAGAAATACAGTATTCACAAGTAAAATGTTTCCGCCGCAAACTACTAAAATCATTAACGATAATTAGTATTTGCTGCTAGCTAACCGCGAAGTCATATATCAGAAAGCTCGTATTTACAAACAACGTTCAGATGTAACTCGGTCCTTACCGGATTTAAAAAGGTTTGCTTGGGGTGTGCAACAGACATATTACTTGATATCCAGTGTACGAACGAAAGGTATACAATTCCTGTTGCAGTCCAAAGCAGGATCCTGTCTTTTTATTAAACGCCTATTCGGATTTTACTTTCGCTTCCTGTTAGTGACGTGAGGCGGGCTGCAGCCAGTCACAAGCATTCTCACGTGACCATACTCGGAACGTGCGCGCCTACGTAGCACGTGGAACAGCACAGACGACAAGTGCATAGACGACAAGTGCATAGACGACTTTTACATTAGTTTATCCCAGGGTACGGATAGTATTTTAAAACACAGCATCTTAAATCCAGCATTTTAAACCGTAATATCCCACTACCCATTCAACTTCATAAGTCAAAATACCAACCCCTAAAAGTAAATCACGACAAATCCAAACCAGAGTTTGACTAAGTTTTATTTTGTATAACTAAATAACTTATGCTCACCAACCTTAACAGAATGTTATACATATAGACACACACATAAAAAAGTGTTGCATTCATTTTAATTACAATTCATTACTTAAAAAAACAAACAACAAACCTTAAAAAAACACTGCAATAAAGTGGATAGTGTGCACACCAAGTTTTCAGCTGCACCCGATTCCAGCTGCACAGGGTGCAAGTCACTTTGGGATCAGACCAGAACACAGCAGGGTGGTTGGGAGGGTGAACATGGGGTCCAGCCAAATGCCACATCCCCTTCCCGCCAAGTGTTAATGCATGGAGTCTTTGTGTGTGGGGGTGCTGAACTCTTCAGAAGTCTGCATCCAGGCGGAATGTGTTATCAGTTGGCCCAGACATGACACCCATTCGCTGGTACTCCCCAACCCTCTTCTCAAAGAAGTTTGTCTTCCCCTCCAGAGAAATGTTCTCCATAAAATCAAAGGGGTTCTCCGCCCTGTAGATCTGAGCACAGAATGCAGAAATCTTAGTCAGTAAACTTGGTACAATGGCATATTGTGAAATATTGCCCACCAGCACCATATGCTTAACTAGGAAATCCCAGTTGCACACAACATGTGTTGAAATATAGAATTACCTTGCTAAAGCCTAGTTCAAGCATCAATCTGTCAGCAACAAACTCGATGTACTGTTTCATAAGATCGCAATTCATGCCGATTAGGTTCACCGGGAGAGCCTGTGTGAGGAACTCCTGAAAGGGAGAGAGGAAATCAGTAGGTCCTTCCTTTAGTTTCAAAACAAACACATGGCAAAAATCTCCACAGGACCACAGCAGTAAACTCACCTGCTCAATTTCAACAGCATCTGTGATGATCTGTTTAACCTTTTGTTTGGAAGGCTTGTTCACCAAGTGCTTAAACATCAGGCAGGCAAAGTCGCAATGAAGACCCTTAAAAAAAAAGAAAATTCACTTAAGTCCTAACTCATGATAGCATAATACATGTGGCCACACACAAACATTAACTAGTCCAGCCAAGACAGGGCCAATGAAAATAATTAGTAATTTACAATGACAGTGGATATTGGCTGAAAGTTTGTGTATGAGACAAGCAGCGGGCCAGATACATGCTAAAGTGTTCCAGACTCACCTCATCCCTGCTGATCAGCTCATTGGAGAATGTGAGGCCAGGCATTAGACCCCTCTTCTTCAACCAAAAGATGGCAGCAAAAGACCCAGAGAAGAAGATTCCTTCCACAGCAGCAAATGCCACTACACGTTCCCCTGGAAAAGAGGAACTTTTCAGTATCCATGGAGTAAAGGCCAAAGCAAAGCCTGAAAGAGTGCTACTGGGACACCAACTTACCATACTGAGCATCCCTGTTTCCAATCCAGTTCAGAGCCCAGTCGGCCTTCTTCTTCACACAAGGCAGTGTCTCAATTGCATTGAAGAGGTACTCCCTATATGAATGGAAATAGATGGTCACACTGACAGCAGAGAACCAACACCCATAAAATCATTAGGAAACACCCATGCTCCCTGTGATAGAGCCCAGGTAGTACACCATGCTAAAACAAACACTTCTGCTTTGGCTCAGACCGTGGTGTTTATCATGCTGCTGTCCTGTTAAGAGGACCACACGCCCACTAAACTGAGGAACAGCAACACCCAGCTCCCATCATCAGCTGAGGTACGTACCCCTGCACCAATCATCATCGCCAGGAGATTAATTCATGCAAGTCAAGTGTAATAATCATACTTTGAAAAGCATGCATACCACACAGCACTGGTGCGGTACCAGACTGACCTTTCAGCGGGATCCTTGATGTATGTGTCAATGAGCAGGCTGTACATTTCTGAATGAATGTTCTCCATGGCAATTTGGAAACCATAGAAACAACGAGCTTCAGTCACCTGGACTTCCTGGCTAAAGCGTTCCACCTAAGAACCCAATTTGAAAGGATACAGTTTATTGAAAGGGTAATTCACAGACATGTGAATAGACATACATAAGAACACATCTTACCAAATTCTCATTTACGATGCCATCACTGGCAGCAAAGAAAGCCAGAACGTGAGAGATGAAGTATCTCTCATCATCTTTTAGGGATTCCCAGTGTTGCAAGTCTTTGGAGAGGTCAACCTAGAAACAACAAAAAAACATCTAGTTTCAAAACTGACGGATCCACAGGATTCAGACAGAGCATCCAGAAAGCTACAACCCGTAGACTCCTAACCCAGACAGCACCACACCTCCTCTGCAGTCCAGAAAGAAGCCTCTGCCTTCTTGTACATCTGCCAGATGTCGTGATATTGGATGGGGAAAATGACAAATCGACGGGGATTGTCCCTTAGCAGCGGCTCATCCTCGACGCCTGGTTTACGGGCCGTTTCAGGCTTCATCTACGGATGGGAAAATAGGAAGAATAAAAAAAAGTCGCACAGGGTATCATACTGAACCTCATAACCAGTCACAAAAGGACTTAAACGCGTGCCGGTCTATTGAAGGAAGGGAGTGACTCCTCCCTCCACGTCGCCCTTTCACCCCACCCCTAAATATCACCGCCTGTCCCACTAAGGGCATGGCTGACCGCCAAGATTGGGCGCCAAAGTGGTATAAAGGATTCCAAAAATCCTTTTTAGAATGGTACCCAGAACATTTTAATCTCGATAATTATAAACAAACAACATGTAATCAGATTTACTTACCTCTGTGTCGAATATTTTTCGCGCGGTCTTGGATGCCAGAACACGGGTAGCATTTAAGCTTGGGGGCTGAAAAACAAACATTTAATCTTTAACTGTGCATGACGTTATATTACACATGTATGTTATCCTTAGTTATTTGAATTTGTATAGTAAGTTTTACGAATCATAAGCGTGAGGTAGTGCAAAAAAAGCCAATGAAAACAAGAGAGGAACTAAAGCCTAAAATAAAAAAGTCATAACTTACCGTGTTTTCTTTGTCAGTCAGGTTAACACGGTCCATTTTGGTAATGACGGAGTTTTCGCTTTTGCTTGAAAGAGGGCTGCGAGCAGACATTTTAGAGATTAGAGAAACTGTACCTAATTACAATTTAAAAACGTATTGTATAAAACCCAACAACTGAAGTCGAACTAAAATGAAGTAAATAGTAAATTATTAACTTCAAATTAAGTTTTAAAATTTATACTAAAATAAATGATGTCCTCCCAAGAGTAGCTTCTTTAGTGAACTGTAATAGCTTGCGTCTGAGCTGCTCTATTTATTGAAGGCTTGGCGCTCGATTCTGATAGCCAATAGAATCGGTCGAGCATGTAAACGTGAACAAAATACAGCCAATGGGGGTGCGTATCTGGTTTCATTGCGTCACGTCCGATTACGGGAATTTCAAACGCGCCAAAAACAAACTAACCGGGAAGGAAAGGCGCGTTTAAGAAACTATGTATTGCAATTAAATGAAATATATATATATTACATTAGAATTCATGTTTCAACAATAGGTACATTGTCTTTATTATACGTATTTTGTAATGGAACATTTGTCAGCTTATTGTACTATTTTTATAAACTAGTTTAAAAGTATTACTATAATTTAATACACTGTATCGGTCGTAGTAATGTCATTTTAAGTGGGGTGCAACTCCATGCGTTAGTTGCATGACATTTTTGAATGGGGATTGTAAATGTAGTTTATATAGCCACTGTTCCTAGTATTCCCGCCATTCTGTGAAAGCTTTTCCCATTTATCTAGCTAGTGATTCTGACACTGTGTTTTTTGTTACCAATGCAAACTATAAGCTGAATATCGACAACTGAAAAAAGTGTCACTGAATACAGGGTTGCCAACTGTAACGCATTTGGCGTGATGCTTTCAGACTCACACCGCACACGCAAGAAATCTTACGGAAAATCTATATTATTCCATTATAAACCTAAAATTAGCCACACCAGAAGTGTTGTGTTATTGTGCAAACCCTACAGACTATTACAATGTAATAAAGCTGTTGCATGCATATCAGATTGTGTGTGTGTGCAAACTTGTCTTGAATTTCACTTAAGCCAGCTGCGCAAAGTTGGCAACCTTGTAAATAGTCTACATATATTTTATGCAAGTACTTAGTATACTAAAGGATAAACATGCTTGCGTGGTAGCAATATATCATTGTAGAAGGTTAAACTAATCCGAGGCAGTAATCACATTTAGGAAGTTTTAACTATTATAAATTTAATTTAATTATACGACAATTTCTTTGAATAGCGAAATCAACATGTCAAAAAATGCTAAACCAAACCATTATTTATACACGTCAATATAAAATAAAATTGTTTGTTCATATTTAAATCATTATTATGAAAATAAAGTTGCAACAGTCCTGACATTTAAACCCGCCGTATTTCAACAAAAGGTGTAACCACTGTAATGAATATACCGACAAGAGATGACAATGTGCAAAAAATACCTTATCATACAATTATGTCGCCCCCTCTCGGCAAGTAGACTAGCACGCAACCTTTAAAAGCATGTCTTTTTATTCCTAGTTCGTGTAATTTGCTCCGTGGCACTTGACAGAGAAACCAGTTGAAGATGGTTACAGTTACCGGTTGTCCTTGAAGGGAAGCTACGTCGGAAAATATAAGATGCAAATGCATTCTTGCAGATTTGACCAGATACATGTATTGTGCTGAACCAGAATTACTCACATCCTATAACATGTTCAAACCACCGGCTGTTTTTCCGTAACTGCAAAATTCGTAGTGTGCATTTATCTTTTCATGTGTTAATTTGGAGCTCTGCAGATAAATTTCCAATTCTCATAATCTTTTAAACAGTGACATGTATTGTGTGAATGATATTTGGGGGAAATATGTACCAAGTGCAGAGGGTTGGGAGTATCCATCATGTATGAATAACAACTTATATCAGTTTTGACGTTCCTAATCTTGCACATTCATGAAAATGGGTATAAGAGCGGTTTAATATCTTGGATGGGACTCATTGGGTTTTTACAGACACTGTACATGGAGTCTGATACACAGTTTAGCTTAGTGTAACCAATAAACAAGCATAGAACATTAACTGCCTGTGTGGGAGAAATCAAAATAGCTAAAGGATTCAACATGCATCCAGCAATAATAGCTGGAGTAACTAAGTTACTATACTAATGGGCAGTTTTCCCCCGTTTTGGTGTCATCTCAATTTTATTTTTTTTTATTAATTACATATAGACAGGACCTGACAGATCCAACATAAGTCATAATATTATCTCTATGCACTATCCTAGTGTGGAAAAACTCAGTTTTGCATGAAGGAGAACAGCTTTGTGCAGGTGAATTGTTTATTTGAAGATCTCTGAAATGCATGAATAGGAAGAAGGCAACAGGCCCTGGTGGCATGTCCTTAAGTCCTGCACAGACCAACTAGCCCCAGTCTTCACCTCCATCTTCAATTAGTCCCAGATAGAGTCTGTCATCCCAACATGCCTCAAGAGATCCATGATTGTGCCGCTACTGAAGAAGAACAACCTAGCCTACTTAAATTATTACCATCCTGTTGCACTCTGTGGTGATGATATGCTTTGAGGAAATCATCAAAGACTTCAACTGTTCATCTCTGCCCAGCTCTTTAGATTCTCTCCAGTTTGCCTACAAACCCATCAGGTACTTGGACAATGCCATCTCTAATATCTTGCATTCCATCCTTTCCCACATGAACACTGGGAGGGGGAACTATGTGAAGCTGTTGTTTATTGACTACAGTTCAGCCTTCAACACCATAGTTCTGTCTAGGCTGGTCACCAAGCTGAGTTCCTCCCTTTATGACTGGCTTCTGAACATCCTCACTGGCAGACCACAGGTGGTGAGAGTCGGTAGCTGGACCTCTAACACCCTCATTCACAATATCGGAGGCCCACAAGGTTGTGCTCTCTACTCCCTGTACACACATGACTGTACAGCCACACACAGGTCCAACACCAGCCTATAATTTGCAGCTGACATAGTGGTGGTAGGTTTCATCTCCAACAGGGATGAGATGGCGCACCTGGATAAGGTTGAGGAGCTGTCTCTGTGGTGTCAAGCTAACAACTAGAACCTGAATGTCTCTAAGACCAAGGAGATGGTTATGGGCTTCAGGAAGGAGCAGCAGAGATTATCAGGACACTGGTGGAGAGGGTCAGCAGCTACAGGTATCTCGGAGTACACATTGTAGGAATTATTAGCTCAGGTAAATTTTAATATCTCCACCAATATGTTTGAATTAAATAAAGTTTAATTAATTATTATTTAATGCTGATTATTAACCAATTGTTATGCCGAATGGTCGGCTCCTCCAAACTCGATTGCGGTACCCCCTTGAGTCTGTTAATGTGAGACTTAAATGGGATTCACTAATTACCGGTATCACTTAGTAACTTGGGTTAGAAGGCTCGTCCAGCGAGCTGAATCACCAGGTAATGTAAACGATTGGTAGCGAAGCTCACGGCCGATGAGAGAGAGTCTCACGATGTTTCAGGCAAGTTTGAGGTTCAGAGCGTGTAGCAAGATCGCACAAAGGCAGGAACTTATTGTGGAACACTCAATGACGGAGGCTAAAGTTGTGTAAAAGACATGCATTTATTCCTAGCTAACACTACAACTAACATAAGACAGACATTACACCTAACACAAACAACAAACACGAAATAACAGAATAAAACAAACAATGTAATTATGAAAATGCAATGACCGGATTTAATAAATG